ATTACGCAATTGCCGGACCCTCTGTAAAAAAGGTGTCCCGAAATTAATGCAACAAAATTTGGTCATAGATCCTTAAGACAATTTAGGGGACCAGTATTTTTTATTTTTGCCATGTGGCCCCCTCTCTCAGAGTTACAGCCCCCTGAAATCCGCCCCTAAGAATAGTCTTTTTTATATCTCAGAACCCTGTTCTACAATAATCACTAAATTTGGTACACAGGGGTTTTATGACATGTGGAATTGATAGTACTATGCTTTTTGGCGGGGAACTTCCTTAAGACACTTTTTCGTGGGCTCCCTTGTTTTTGGAACCATATTTGAATTTCTTAAAAATTATTAGTTTCCTAGAAAACCGTTGCATTTAGAAACTTTTTTGTCTCTTGGTATTTTTTTCGTAAAATGCAATGTTTTTGAGAAAAATGGCGAATCATGATATACAGGGTGTTAAAAAAAGGGTGTAAAATATTTAAGGAGGTAATAGTATGAATCAAAATAAGCAGAAAAGTCTCAATAAACATCCGCAAAGTAACGGTTGCGGAGATATGGAATGTTTTATGTTTTTTAGCCCCTTTTTTTATTTTGCAAAAACGTTGTGTATTTTCTTATAATAGTTGGTTGATGTTTAGTGAAATAAACAGTACGTATTTGACAGTTGTTCTCAGTGCACAAGTTTTCTTTCGCTATGGCTGGTTACTCTAACGCAGAATTAACAGACATGCATTTCATGTATGGTCGTGCTAATGGGAACGCCACCGAAGCGCGACGTCTTTATGTTGACGCTTATCCAAATCGCCAGATTCCTTCACAACGCATGTTTGGAAGAATTCACCAAAGATTGCGTGATACCGGTTCCTTGAGCAAACAGTGCCATTTATCCGGAAGACCAAGGTCGGTATCCACTCCTAGAGCAGAAGAAGAAATTCTAGCACTGGTAGAGCAGAATCCAGGTACGAGTGTGCGGAGAATATCAGCCGAGGTAGGAATTAGTGGTCCTCTTGTTTGGAGAATCCTTCACGAGCAACTGCTTTATCCATACCATGTGCAACGAGTACAGGCCTTAAATCCAATAAATGATCATCAAGCACGTTTGGTTTTTTGCCGCTGGTTTCTACGTCATGATGCTGAAGACCCTCGTTTTCTTGCAAACATTCTTTTTACTGATGAGGCCGGGTTCACAAGAAATGGAGTGTTTAATTTTCACAATACGCATATTTGGGCCGACGAAAATCCTCATGCTCTAATAGAATCTGGACATCAGGCACGTTTTTCATTAAACATTTGGATGGGTATTGTAGGTGACAGGTTTCTAGGTCCTGTTGTTTTACCAAACCGATTAACAGGCGCTGCTTACCTCAACTTTCTGCAGAACACACTGTATGAGTTTTTGGAAGACATTCCTTTGAATCAGAGGCAACAAATGTGGTTCCAGCATGATGGTGCTCCAGCTCATTTTTCCATGGCCGTTAGAGAGCATTTACACCAAACTTTTCCACATAGATGGGTAGGAAGGGCCGGACCTGTTTTATGGCCTCCAAGATCGCCTGATCTGAACCCTCTAGATTTCTTTGTTTGGGGATATTTGAAGACATTAGTGTATGGTACTCCTGTAAATAGCCTGGAAGAGCTGCAGCTACGGATTAATCAAAAGTGTCAAGAAATCCAAACCAAGGAGGGTGTTTTCGAAAGAGTTCGAATATCGTTGAGACGAAGATGTCGTGCCTGCTTGGAAATGGACGGAGGGCACTTTGAACATCTTCTGTAACTTTGTTTTTTGTTTGTTAAAAGCTTCCTTTGTCGGTTTATTCCTAATAAAATAAAATGTTTGAAAAACGAATAGTGGTCCATATCTCCGCAACCGTTACTTTGCGGACCCATGTTTATTAAGACTTTTCTGCTTATTTTGGTTCATACTACCTCCTGAAATATTTTACACTCTTTTTTTAACACCCTGTTGTATATGCATTCAATCATATTTTGACATTTTTCTCGACATTGCGTTTTACGAAAAAAGTATTAAGAGACAAAAAAGTTTCTAAATTTAATGGTTTTCTAGTGAACTAAAAATTTTTAAGAAATTTAAATATGCGACCAAATTTTTTTGGTTTCAGACAAGAGGACTCACAAAAAATTGTCTTAAGGGGATGCCCCGCTAAAAAGCACTATCAGATTTCACAGGTGGTTCACAAACCTGTGTACTAAATTTAGTGATTCTCCTACAACAGGGTTCTGAGATATAAAAAAAAGACTATTCTTAGGGGCGGACTTCAGGGGTCCACTTGGCAAAAATAAAAATTACAGGCTCCCTAAATTTGTCTTAAGAATCTGTAAGCAAATTTTGTTGCATTAATTTCGGGACACCCTGTATATCAGGTATATTTTTTAACTTGAAACTTCAAATGTCTTGATCAAAATTGAATCATTCCGTGGGGGAAATACATTAGTGCTACAATTAGTCCCTCTCGCCTCACCCCTTGTAGGTGGGGGGGGGGATATTTGATTCAATTTTTGATTATTGAAATTTTTTTCGTAGGATGCTCATTTCTCAAGATATTTGAAAGTTTCAGGTTAAAAAATACACCCGGTATATTAGGGAAGTATTACTTTACACATAGAAACTCCTGCCTAACTTAACACTTTATAGTTTTGATGTTTTGATCTTTAGAAATATTTGTCCTGTTTAAGCAAGATTTAGATTAAATGCCTGCGAATGCTCTAACCCATACCTTAGTAATTAACAAAATTTTCCACGTCCACACCACATCAAATTAAAAACAACTTGTTTCTTAAATACTATGAAAATGAATTCTGTCTTGCATAAACAAAGCAATTATTTGAGAAATTTACATAAGTATTACTCAATGGCATATCTGATTATATTCTATAAAATAAGAATAATTTTATATATACATTCAGGTACCCACAAAAAAAGCCAATGAGCTTCATTCTCATTAATTTAGAAAGAATATGTCACGCTATGTAAGACATTAAAAGCACTTCTATTATTCAATTATTTTTTGCTTATAAGGCACATTTTTTCTTTATTTCTAGGCCAGATACTTCCTTGCTGCTTATTGATAAATAAATTGGGAATGTTATTTTCTAATTTGAATTTGATAATTTGTTTTCCAATTCTTGGATATATTTGCTTACCCTAGAGCTATCTTCTTATTATGCAAACATTTTATTTTCGAATTTGTCATCTCTGCCTGAAATCAAATGACTTTCGATATATCATTTTTTCAGACATTACCTATTTTTCCATTCGACAGAAGAAATTGACAGGAAATATGCATCTTCATATATATACAGGGTGTTCTATAAATAAGTGCTAAATACACACATATTCAACTCACTAACTATACTGTCTATCAATTAAAAACAAATACTAACAATACCTTCCATATTTTTTATTTAAGTTAAATGCGTTGTAAAAATTTTGGCTTTTATTTCTGGAACACCATGTATATGTAGATATGTCTGTTATTGCCAAGTGGGTACAAGTTAAATAGTTTTGGTATTGTTTGTACTTTTTCTTAGTAGACGGACTTGAAAGTACCAAAAGTGAATAACAAAACGTTGAAATTTGTTTCTCGATATTTTGGTTAATATATCACAGGTAAGGCAAGACTATTGATTCTCGTTATTTAGCAATTTTTTTTTTAAGTTCAGGCCCAGGTAGCATTAACTCTTGAACTAATGAAATTTACTGAATTTGCAGATTAAAAACAACCATATCCAATTTATAAAAGGCATACAATTTTGATGTTCAATGTGTTTGTTATTCATTAAAAAATAATAATAATAAAACTGACAATGGTATTTCCTTCATTAAAAACATAATTTCTAAAAAAAATCTTTTTTGCCACAGCAAATCATAACAAAATATATTTGAAAAGTATCATTATATAAATTAAAATTCACCAATGTTTTTTATTTCTAGAATTACTTAGACCTGGTCCTTATACAGGGTGTAAGAAGTTTGACTGCCATTACTTCAGCATGAGATAGAGTAATCATAAATAAACAAAAAAGTTCCATATTACAGGAGGGTAAGATTAACAGTTTTCAAAATACAGCGTGTATTAATATTGGGGAGTTTGATCACAACGTGACAACAGAGCTTAACTTAACGCTACACAGCTGATGCAAACCACGAGTGCACGCGGGCAGACTTGTCCTACGGAAAAAATGTAAACAACTATTATTGTGAAACATTTAGTAAATTTCAAGACAATTGTTTTCCAGTTTTTAAATAAATAAAATAAAATGTATCGATTTTGTAGTAGGAAGATAGTGTTGTGTTTAAATTTTAGCTCGAATTTTAGTAATTATGAATCTCTTAAAACAATATGTAATTAAAGTACCCAAAGATTTAGGTCATCCAAATAATCATACGTATTAAAAATAATTTAGGTACTTATTTACCAAAGAGCAAAATTCAGTAATTTTTAAACTCACGAGTACAAAACAAAGTACAACATATGTTCAAAATGTCCATCACCATTTTTGATGCACACACGACACCTTCGAATCCAATTTTCGCGCACTCGCTGGAAAATTATCATATATGGTAAACATTTAAAAAAAAAAACGAGAAACACCTCTAGAAAAGGAAATAGTGGTATGCAAACACACTCCGTCACGGTCGAATTCCAGATAGCAACTGAACTGTGTATTGGTGGACAACTTAGTACCTCGTGTTATTATAATCGCCACGCCATTGTCACATTGCTCGATATGAATTTTATCGTTAATAAAGTATTATTAATTACGCTAATTATTTTTTTAGAATTAAGTATAAAGAAGTTCAAAAGAATGACAAACATTGTATTTTATGGTATTCCATGCACGCAGTTATGTCAATATTCCGTAATGAATCGATCTTTTGTACATCAAGTCGGAGATTTTGATCATTTTTTTTTCTAGGAAATGGTTGAGTTTGGGACCCATATCATATAAGGTTTTTTTGTTTATTTTAATGTATTTTACCGTCTGTTAAAATTAAAGCAGTCAAACTTCTAATACCCTGTATATAGTTTATTTATTATATTAAAATCTAGATTTAGTAAAAAATGCCATTTGCATATATTAAGAATCATAAATTGGTGTCATCAAGTATACCTCAACCGTTTTGTACGTATAAAGGCAGCGGAATAGAAAACAGTAAATTAAAATTGTGTAAAAGTAATAGCTGCATCAAGTGCGGAACTTAGCGCTATATATTATTCCTTTCGAGTGCACTTGGTGTTAGCATTTCCATTATTCATTTAGTTTTATTTTATTTTTATTTATTTACATAAAAATATCTTTGGATTGTTAGTTTTTACTACACTGTTTAAGCTAATTTTGTCATAACTTACGGTACTACGGTAGTACGGCGGTACTAGACAATAATGGCCTATCACTTTTTGCTTCACTATATGGAAAAATATAGTGGTCCGATAAATAAAAGATCACGTGAATACTATCTTAGGTAAGTCATCTCCCACTTTACACATTCCATCGCTCCACCACTTTTGAATATCATAAGACTTGTGCAATAAAGGTTCATTTAATTTTTTACAAATGTCGCACAGAGCAGTTTTATGATCTCTTTTCACAATGTAATGTTTTTTCCATTCAAAATATGAAAGATATTTCTTTGGATCTTCATCTAGAGACTTTAAATATTTAGCTAGTTCCTCTATGGAACTGAATTTTGAGACATCTATAACTGAGTTTGGTGGCGCAAACTTAGAATAATTTGCACCCCCATATACGATAGGTATAAAATCTCTGTTCAATGCTGAATACATCTTTTCTGTTACGTAATCTACACAGATAGAATTTTCAAAAGATAAATAGAATTTATAGTTCCTTGCTATGAGGTCATAACATCCATTGGAATCTTCTCTGGGACAGGACATGGTTCCACAAGCGCCATAGACATCTATTGGAAAGTATTTACTGAGTTTTTCGTAAAGTGTTTTCCTGTTACTGGGAGGATTGCAGTTGGAAACCATCCAGGCTATTTTACGGGACTTTTGTTGTACTTCTTCCACAGTAGGCATTTTATAATTAGTGGTAATGTTTTTATACATTCCATAAGTATACGCAATGTCCGAGTCCAATCTATATAGCAAAATATGTGCTTAAAATAATCTGATTACAAACAGTGTTGAATCACTAAAGTGATAGATAGGGTATTTAGGGAATTAATGGAATTTATATATTCATCAACTCAAATTTGTGGTAAAATTAATTATAAAGATAATTTACATAAAAAAATATTTCTGATATGCAAAATGTATGTTTGAAAATTTTTTTAAGAGAAAGAAAGAGATAAATCATAGAACATACCTGTAGGTCATAGTCCAATTGAAAAAATTGTCTGATCCAATCCATTTGGGAGTATTAGCTGGAGACTCTTGATTCACATAGATGTAGACTTGCGCCTGTGATCTATTCTCAGGCTTATCTTGAGTTTCCCAAATATACTCCCTTCCGTGGAAGAGGACAGCATCAAATTGATCTATAGGTAGATAGCACCTGTTGTCTGTAGTAAAACAATTTCTCACTTCACATCTCTCAAATATTTTACTTCCAAAACCTAAGTAGAAATCAGCATGTCCAAATGCTCCATTCCAGTAGAGGATATTCTTATACGGTACATTATCAGGTGTACGTTTAATGTCATTAATAACACATTTAAAGTTATTTATATACATTCGTTTAAAGTCACTACTGTAGTAACAGTACTGCAGCAGTAATAAACAAAAAATAACTGCTGGAACAAGATATAATGCTGTGTTCCTTTTCATAATTTCTTAACACCCTTCTTCCTAGGATGCCTAGAATAAATTATTTTAGATATTTTTCAATAATATGTTGTCTCACAGCTTTTCCTTTAATCACTACTTAATGGTGTGGTAATAGTTCTACTGTGATTGTAATTAGCTTCTGAATACATAAGTGGTGGTTGAAGTAAGCACATCATTTATGTGTTATTTAAAGATGATAGTCTAAAACCAAACATATCTAATTAATAATTGAGAAAAATTAAGTTTGCTATCACTATTATAACCAATTTGGGATTTTTTAATGGAAAATTTGAAACCTATTTCTACAAGTAATCTTTGGACTCTTTAACCATTATTAGAGTTGCCACTCATCCTAGTTTCATTGGGTTATCCAGGAATAGAATTATGTGTTCCGGGAAAAAATAATGCTGACAAGATTTGGAATCAGGCATCTTACAATTAGTTAGTTTACATCATTATATACATCTAACAACTGTAACTAGAACTAAATGAATTGCTATGAATTTTATTATGCAAAAAATATTTTTCAATGTTTTATAAATATATTTTTAAAGTTTAATAATTACCAAAAAATATCTACTTGTTTTTCTCTACTGATTTCCATACTTTTCAATTTTTATTTTTAAGAAAATAAGAATATTTAATTGTAAATACACATATGTTATCAAATACATATATATATATACCAACTGAACTGTGTATTGGT